TATAAGTCAAGTATACTTAAATGTCATTTTAAGTATATTTCTGAGAAGTACATAAAGCCCATTTCTGAGAAGTACATAAAAAGTAGACTAAAAGTATACTTTCCTATTTTTAGTTTAAAAGAAGTATACTAATAGCACACTTGAATAAAATTCTTTTTTGTAAGGGCAGACAAAGGTGGGTTTGGCGCATGGCAATAGCTGTCGAAGATTTTGACTGATTGATATTATTAGTGAATTTCAGTCATGCAGCACGATTTATCAGCTCCGCTAGCATCCTGCTGACAGGACCTCTTCCTCTCCAGAAACACAGCATTAGCGGTGGATCTGCACCTCCATCTGACTCACCCTGTCTCTCCCTCCTGCAAGGGCCTCATGTGAGGTGAACAGACTGAATGAATGCTGCTGCCAGATTACTTCTGCTCCATTCCCAGATCCAAGCCATAATGTTTGCCGTCTGAAAGGTATTTCATTATTCATTATGAACAGCCAATTACAGATGTAAATGCACAAATGAGACTGATGAGCATTGGACTGCATTACGTTTGACGCTTAAATTTGACATTTCATGCCGGGGCTTAATTATATAAGAATCTGAGGCAATCCTTTCACCACAGAGGAACCCCACTAAGCGCCCAATACCCCGTTGATTGAAATTATAATTGTCTGTTTGCAGAAAGAGCCCAGGTGCAGTGACATTCTGCTGGTTTACCATGAGCATCACAATTGCCCAATCAAGGCAGTGTTCCAGCTGACAGACCTGGTGAGGAAATTATTAACACTTGAGCAACAGATGGCTTTGGCCTCCACACAATCTGAGTGGCCATCATGGATGCTCCATTTGGGAGGGTTTTGGAGAAATTCGCTCTGTGCCGCCAGCGCTGGTTTTCTAACACAGACTGTGGTTACAGTTTCATCAACGAGGGGTACAGTAATTTGATAACACATCTAATTGATGCTGTTGAAGATATGGTGGAATAAAGCGACTCTTCATCAGTAATATACTAAGTTATAAAGTGTTGCTGTTCAGTTGTATTCCACAGTGTAAAGTGAACATATATTATGTATTTTCCCTGAAACTACTGGAAAATGTTTGCAAGAGATGAAAGGGCCTGGCAGACTCGTTTTACTCTCGTAATCTGATATACTGTATTTCTGAGTGACACAGGATACTCAACCAGAAAAAATAGAGCGGACCTGTCTGCTATTAATTGAATCATGAAAAGTGGGCTTACTTACCAGAATGGAACCAGGTGGTTGGAGCGGATGGTTTGAAAAGGATTGGTGATGTCAGCTAAAAGATCATAATTTCAGAGGTGAAGTAAGTTACATTTTTATGGAAGATTATGAAGACAAGCAGTTTTTCTTTAGAAGAACTTACACTGATGAATCATGCTCAGTAAGACCTGGAATGTGTATTAGAAAAGTAAACAGGGTCAATTTCACATTGTGTTCCAGTATTGCTGTTTATCTATGGACACTACAGGAAGTGCAGTACTGGGGACTTTTAATTTGGTGCATCTGAAAGAAGTAAACACAGGTAGACAATTTGGATGAATGGAGAAAGGCTGTTTATGGAAAAAACAAAACAAAATACATGTAGGCCAGCATTTATTAAACTATTTAAATAGACAAAATGGGGAAGGAACTTTACCTTTCATCCGGGATTTACAACTAGATGGTCGCAGATCCAGGGTTTACAACAGATTATGGTCTCAGATTCATTTCTGGAAACAAAATGGTGGATTCAAAGACAAAGGAACAAACGTTTAGGTGAGATTGATCATTGTCTTCTTTTAATGCAAAATTGTATGTATATTAATATACATATACAGTATATTTTTTAATAAAAAATTGTTATTACTTTTGAACTTTTGAAGAATTAGAATTAAAAGCATATGAAAACATTTTAATTCTTATATATACAAAATACCTTTCAAAAGTTTGGAGTTTGTAAAATGTGCATATGTAAATATGTATTATGGCGAGGATCCCGAGTGCGTGTTACCGTTACCCTGGAAACACCGTTCAGCAACTAATCAGCCACTACGAGTACACGCTGATCGAACACACCTGAACTTCATCAAGAAGAGGAGATATAAGCAGAAGCAGGGAAAGAAAAGGGGACCAACACTTCACCTGCTTATGGTGTTTTCTCGCATTGCACGGACACAGATCACTTTGCCTGAACCCCATCCCCTCCCTCACATTGTCATAGAAAATGGTCTGCTTTACTGCATTGCACAGCGGTGGGGGGAGGAAAAACTTCTGCTGTTGCTACCCAGGACCAAGATGGAGACCGTGATGGATCTGGCCCACTCCCATTCGATGGTGAACCATCTAGGAGTGGAAAACACAATCCAATGGATACAGGACTAATTTCCATTGCCCCGGCCTGGAGGCCGAGGTGAAATTAGTTTATCAGAGCAGCCCGACCTGTCAATGGACTTTGCCTCGGTGACCTCCCCGCAGCCCTGCCAATAATCGAGGTGCCCTTTGAACGCATTGGGATGGACCTGGTGGGCCTGCTGCCGATTGTCTGCCCAGGGCCATGAACACATCCTGGTCATCGTGGACTATGCCACCCGGTACCTCAAAGCAGTCCCCTTGAGGAAAGCCACTGCCAAGTGCATCGCCAAGGAGCTGTTCCTGCTGTTCAGCCGGGTTGGCACATACGGGACATGAGAAAGTGGATCGACTGGGTCATGACACTGGTGAGGGAGAATCTAGTGTCAGCCCAGCAACACTTATATGACTGACCCGCCCAAGCCCGAAAGTTCCAGTCATGAGACAGAGTGCTTGTCTTTGTTCCTACCACAAGGTCCAAATTCTTTGCTTCTTGGCAGGGGCCCTACACTATCGTGGAGAAGTTGGGTCTGGTCACATATAGAGTCCGCCAGCCAGGACGAAGAAGAGCTAAACAGCTTTACCATATCAACCTGCTGATGAAGTGGACAGCGTCCCAGGAACAGCTAGCCGCCTTTACCCAGTGTGAGCTTGCAGTGGTTGATATGGGAACCCAGCTCTCCAGCATTCAGAAGACGGAGATGGAAGCCCTGGTCAGTCAGTTTGCAGAATTCCCTGGGCAGACCAACGTGATCCATCATGAGATCTGCACTCCACCTGGATTTATTATCAGGCAATGGCCCTACCAAGTCCCTATCATTGAGGCGTCTCGTAGCCCCTGGTCTAGCCCAGTCATGATGGTCCCAAAGTGTGACGGCACCCTCTGGTTCAGCAATGACTTCAGAAAGCTGAACGAGGTCTGCAGTTTTGATGGCTACCCCATGCCCCGTGTGGATGTGCTCCTTGATCAGCTGGGTAGGGCCCAATTCATTTCAATACCTGACCTCATCAAGGGCTATTGGCAGGTGCCCCTTATGCCAGAATTGAAGAAGACTGCCTTTAACACCTCCAGTGGCAACTGGCAGTATTGGGTCCTACCTTTTGGCCGCATACTTTGATGGTGTAGTCATCCACTTGGAGCGGTGGGAGGACCACCAGGACCCTCTCCGGAGGGTGATGTCTGAACTCCAACGGGCTCGCAACCAACCCCAAGAAATGCTACCTAGGACTAGCAGAAGCCAAGCACCTGGGTTACCAGATTGGGCGTGGCCTGATTATGCCCCAAGAAAAGAAAAAAAGTGGAAGCCATACCGAACTATACCCAGCTCATCAACAAGACCCAGGTATGTGCTTTTCTGGAGTTGGCGGTCTACTATAGATGTTTTATCCCTAACTTCTCCTCAATAGCCAGTCCCCTCACAGACCTAACCAAGAAGGGGCAGCCGGAGAAGGTGAGTTGGACATCTGCAGCAAAGGCAGCATGCCCTGGATTTTCGCTGCCCCTTCATCCTGCAGACTGATGCTTCAGACTTAGGGGGAGTCCTCTCCCAGATCCAGGTGTAAGGGTGGTTTCTCTACAGTGGTTCAGCCTGTAGGATTGCCGAAGGACTAAAGAAACGTTATCAGCACGATGGTATAAAACTGTACATTTCTTGTCTATTACCATCCACTGCCACTTATACCAACGACTGAAATAAGCGCAGTTAGAATAGTTAAATATGTGGGAGAGCGTTGCTATTGTGTGACTATATTGTATTGCAATAGGTAGCACTTCAATGTTAATGTTGAATCAAGACTAGTTAGTACATAATTTATAATTGAAGTGGTTTAATAACAGTATTTTGTTATGGTTACACTTGAATTGGTTACAAAATAGATGAAGGATGATAAAACATAAACAGTTAATTGTACCCAGCATGTATGTAAAATGTTACCTGAGAGAGATAAAGAGGGAGAGAGAGCAGAACCCCAAGAAGAGCAAAGAAAAGAGACCAAACTACAGTTACAATCTTCTTTTATCCCTTCCTTGACCATGTGACTAAAAACCAGCTGAGACATTCAAATTGACCAATCAGCAAATTAAATTGATTTTATAGTATCAAGCATTCAGAAATCACACAAAAGAAAATTAAGCAGTTTTACTTTGATAAAACCAAGGATTAGTATTTGTAAAGGTTGTGATGTCCACATGTTTTTGTTGGTGGCCAAACATTAAAGATTAAGTGGATATTTTAATTAAATGTTTGGTCAATGTTAAACAAGGATTTGATCATCCTGTAAGTGTTACAACAGCAATTACCAGGCCTTTGGCGCCCTTTGCAGGCATTTGTAAGAATATGTAATGTACATAAATTGTTTATTTTGTATTACATTATGTATTTTAACAGTGTTATTCAATGATGTTTTTATTCACAAAAATATCTGAATACTTAGTAAATTATTATTTGAAGCGGTATCAAAACCATGGTTAATTTGTGGTTACCATTGCTACAAGAACCATGTTTGTTTGTTTTTATTCGTTGTAAAATTATGGTTAATTTTAGTAAGGGAACATGGGAACTCTGAGAGAATAGTAAGGCAGATGCGGGGGGTGATATTATTACCGACATTTAAACACGTTATTAACGTTACCATCCCAAAAAGTTTCACAGGATTATGAACGTACCTAAAAGTGATGCACGGGCTTCATCTTGGGCTTTTTTTCTTTTTCTTATCTCGGCGCCAGACTACTGATGCCTTTTCCCGGGCATAGTTGTCCATCAGTTATGATCATTTGCAGTCAGCCGCAAACATGAGGCGGGCGCGGATGCGGGAATGGCGCATCACGTGTGCTTCGCCTGTCTACTGCGTTCACCGTAAAACACATTTTTTAATAAGTATGTATATATGTTTATGTTTATATTTTTATTTACGTATATGTTAATATTAATATAGAACAACATTTTTTTTTTTTTTTTTTTTTGAGCAACTGGGATGGTGCCCCCCTGGGAGTTGGTGCCCTACGCAAACTGCGTACTCTGCGTATAGGGAGCGGCGGTACTGGACTTCAATAAATCCACCCTCTGGGGATTTTCTGTTGATTTAAGCTTCTGTGTCTATGTTCTCATTCACCCCACCACAGTATGTATATGTTCATTTATTTATTTTCTGACATTTGAATAGGGCTATTTTTGCCTTGTCGTGTTTTACTAGTAGCATCTTGGTATTCAGTGGGGTTAATTACTTGTCATTTGTGTGACATTTACCAGTGTAAAGTGTTAGGACAATCTGAGTGTATTGTGTTTTACTCAAGGTGCAATAAAAACAATGTTTAAAGTTGTAGTATAGGCACAATCTCTGCCCTTGTGTTGTAGGGTAATGTGAGATGTGTGTAATGTAAGTGATTAAATCAAGCATCTCTCGTAGTGGTCGATCAATCCTTTCTAGTTTGCCCAGCCTTGAATCTGATGCTAATGGCTATTTTTGTTAGATAATGTCTACTGCTGTTTCTTTATAATTCAGGGCTGATGGTTTGTGTCCATCTATTGATGCGCTCACTCTCAGCACTCTTAGTTTTGCAGATACAGGTACTTCATGGCAGAAAAAGAGCAGTATCGGTACAGTATATAAAATGGTCTGATGGATTTTTATGGAGAACACTATGTCTTATGCTCATTGGAAAAATTCACTGAAGTTTCCAGGTGAAATAAATACAAGTGGCAGTAAAACACCTTTCATTTATTTTTGCACACATCATGATTAGGCTACAGGGGCATAGTACAGATACAATAATGCATTTATGTTTACCATAGCGTGAGATTTGTAGACTTATACATTGTCATGTTTGCATCACATAACCTCCACATAAAAGCTCCACATGTATGGCTTTTCTGAACGCGTAAGCTTGCTCGGTTGCTCATTCGGTACAGCAATGGCATGGTATGACGTTTGCTTCAGCAAATGCATTTTTATCACAAGTTTGCTTTTTTCACCATGAAATCAAAATGGGCAATTCTTATTTTTTAAGCAGTATTGCAGTATTTATTATAAATGATTTATCCGTGTACAT